GATATGACAAAACCTAATTAAGGACCAAATCCTTTCATTTATTATTCGAATCTATGGCTTATGCCGAGCCGCAAACCGGTTTACAAGAGCCAAAGCATTACTAGTAACTCGAGCCACATGAACCACTCTTCTTCTAATCGCCGATTTCACCACACCGTCCATAACCTTTCCATCGAACCCATCAAGACACGTCATCTCATCCGTTAAAGCTGCACTAACCCAAGTCTCAACGTTACTTAGCCGCCACAAGAACTCGTCCTGACCCCGACCAGATCGACCAACTTGTTTCAACTCCCTCATAGACTGAGCCAACATCTCTAAGCCATCTCCAAGAGTCTCAACGCAATCTTTAACGGCTAAGTACTCTCTCCGTTTGATTCTTCTTGCCGTAGTCAGCTTTGCTACGTAGACCGTCGTGGACCGGACTCGGACTAGAGTAACGGCTAGAGCGGTTTGAGCTAACCGGTTTTCGTGGTGGCGGATTTTGCTTGCGAAAGGTGCGAGGCATTTGATGCAAAGACTTGCGTAACGCGTGGTGCGGCATGAGGATACAACGAAGTTGATGCTATTGATAGGGTTTGGTGATGATGGTGAGGTTGATGCAGGTTTGGCTATGGCGGATTGGGAGAGTAGTGGAAGAAAAAGAAGAAGGCAATAGCAGAGATGGGTTAGTTTTGGTTCCATTGGTGTGTGAGTGTGTGGGTGGGGCTATTTGTTCTCTTTGTGGTGTGTTTCAATTAAAGAGCGTATGTGTGTATAGTTGGTATTTATAGGAGAGCTTCATTTCTTGTATTTTTCTACAGATATTGTTTACAATGGACATTTTATATTAAAATTTACAACTTGAACCTAATTGGTTATTTAAAAAAAAAAATTATATTTGGTGAAAATATTCATAATATATAGTATATTTAGTATAGGTTAATGTTTATCACTCTACCATAGAAATATGTAAAAGGGGGATATGGTGGTCACATGTCTTCTTTTTGGTCTTTTAATAGCTTTTGCATGTTTTACCATCTTTTCATAGATTATTTTATTTCAATATCAGCTTTATTATTTCAGACAAGAAATCTGATGCTTTTTTTTTTCTTTTTTTCCCAGATCCACTTTTAAAAGTAAACAGATCCATAGTTCCGTTAATATGTGTTCAAATGTCCAAGTTAACAAATTGTTAGTCTGGTATGTTCATATATACCAATTAGAATACAAAATTTTTTATAACAATTTTTAGCATAGTTGTGGGAGAAAGAAAAAAAAAACACTAAAACTACTACTCTGCTTCCAAACCGGCTTTGGTTATTCAAACAGTTCATAACAGCCCAAAATAATCTCCAACACAAGCCATTTCTTGATCAATTATCAATTTACCTCCAAAAACAGTTGAATGCAACTGAAAATCAAAACCAATCAAACCCATTCTCTCTTCAAAATCTTTGTCATATGCTTTTGCTTTCACATAAAACCAAAGTCATTCTTCTGTGGCGCCTCGATTCAAATGGTCCTAAAAGGACATGGCTCATCCGAATCGGACTGCTCATTACGCGGATTGTACCTCTCTTCATCAAATGAGTAATATAAAAAATGTTTTCTATCAAATAGAACCTTAGAGAAATGCACATAGTTTCTTATCCATGGAAGATCAATCCTCGTTTCGATTGAAAACTTACTAGTAAAGATTGTCAAGCCATCGAGTTTAGTATTCGTTTCCTCCCATTTCGAAGAGTCGAGTTTATACACTAAAGGGTTCTCGTTGCCAAATATATAAACATGCCAAAGATCACTCCTTTATGTTCTGCTAAGTACATTCTCTTGCTCAGATCTGGCTTGTTACTAAAAAGGCATTTGGTAAGACTAGGCTGAGAAAGAAGATACCAAATTCGCTGAGAAGGGTTAATGCAAAACAAATTGCCTTCGCCGTATAGTCCATAAAAGCAGCCATTTGAGTAGATAAGATTGTTGTGGAAAAGACTCTCAAATGGAGGCCAACACGGGAAATTCTCGGTAATCCATTCACTTGCTCCAAGATTGCAAATACTTAAAGCGACACCTAAACCGATAAGCTTCAAAGCTAGCGCACCAAACATGTTTCACCCGATTTAGGGGCACAAGAGAGAGCGATCTTTTGATACGAAAGCTCCAATCTTGGCAAGTTTATGCGCTCTTGAGTAAACGGGTTGTAGAAAAACATTTCATTTGAAGCGGTTATGCGCATAAGTAACCATCCGTCTCTCGAGTGACAAACCTCGGAATTGGCTAACTCAGGCAACTCCAATTCGGACGTTTTTTCGCTAAAACGGATCATAGAGTTCACACAAGTTGCTGTGTTTAGGAAAAGTGCATATGCCATGGAGGCTTGTCCACTATCCGAACAACGGAAGCACGAATGTTATATTTTAAAACAAGATTCCAAAAGACTTGATGGAAGCTCAGAGAAAGTTAGATTCTCTGTTTTTCTTGCTCTGAACCTCACCATTTTCTTCAACATCCCTGGAAAGAGTGTTTGATCAATAAAACAGTGATCAAATTACTCGAACGATGCAATCCTATACTCACCTCAAAATAAATCTTTCGAGACATGTATGCAAAAGAAACTCAATTTGATGCTATAAACCTATTTTATATGAACGTTGTGGATATATCGTAACTTAACAATTACTATAAATATTCTGTGATATGAAGTTTATAATCTACAGAAGAAGAGGGAAGAAAAAAACAGAAAACAATTGACGAGCTAAGAATCTTCATTATGATTAGGAATGGGAAGAAAGCTTTCGTGAATTTGGGAAGTTCTTAAAGGACCGGTCCAATTATATTGAAGATAAGATTTTAGTTTGAAATAACTATCCAAAATTCGGATATGTAAATTTTAAGTAGGGGTAGAACCGGTCTGGATTTGGACATGCTAGATCGGAGTTACAACTATATGGATATTCGGATTTACATATGTTTTTGACGAATTTGAGATTTTGTTATCTAGATAAGAATTTGAAATTTTATTATCCAGGTAACCGAATTTTTGGAACAGATCAAAATGAATTTCAAATTTCGGAGAACTATTACATGCATACTTTTAATTTTTTAGTTATACCTAAATTATGATAGAGAATCAATATAATACAGTATAATGTTTTTAAACTCGCATCAAGAGATGTACCAAAACTGTTTTCGATATTCGACAGACTAGGTATTTAGTGAATTTTAATTTATTTAACTGTACCACATACCACTAGCAAAGTTTTCTTATTATGTTTTCGTTGTATTACCATCCAAAATTAAATCCGTATATTGCATCCCTTATATACTATATATACTATTTATGAAGTGATTTGCGAAAAAATGTTTATGTGCTATCTCTACATTCACTCTTCCAAATAAAATATGACATTGCAAAACATAAAATGTGACATGGCAATATTTGATTTAAATCACAAAATGAAGCTTCCATAGGATATTTCCATATAAAAATCTCGATCAAAACAATATTAATCTCTTTTCACAGAAATATTTACCTAATCACTTACAAATATTGCATACCTGATAACACAAAGTTTTAACCCTATAATA